AGCTAATTTAGTGAATATAATTAAAATGTTCTGATGTCTGCCTACTCTCTTTAGAGCAAGGATTGCCAACCTTCTTCTTTCATTGATCTCTTTTAAGAGGATTATGTGCATAATCGACCCTCTTATGTTTTCTCTATTATATATAGCATTTGTAATGATAACATGAAAAATTGCATATAAATGCCATAAAATAATTTCATATACCAATATTCTCGTAAATATCTCATTTTTCAATAAGTGAACACCCTGTCACTTTGGAGTAGCTGAGTTTCTAATCATCACAGCAGACCAATGATTACAAAATGCTGAGTGTTTTGTTTTTAAGAACTGGCCATTATATTTCTCCAGTGTGTTTTGCAAAGAATATTTTATTAGGTGATAGAGTATTATTGAGAATGCATAGTTTTAATTTCTTCAGTTTTTGAACTGATCAGTTGCCATTTCATATTTGGCTATTGACCCCCAATAGACCCCTTGATCATCACTGCCTCCCTTCAAAATTCCATTGACCCCCAGGGGGTTTATACCAACCCTGTTGGGAACCACTGCTTTAGAGCATGGAGTTCAACTCAATATAAATGCTCATTTTTTCTTCAGTATGTTGTATATGAACAAAGAAAAAGCACCCTGATCAAGTGCAAAATTATGAAGTAAACATTTACGCTACATTTTCTGATAAAGTACTAAAGTCTACTTCAAAATGCCTTTTTTCCATGGAAAATTGGAGTTTTTGTTTTTCAATGTTTCTTGTGCACCGAGATGTGTATTTTTCCATGCTTAAAACCATATGTTCTTAAATTTGTTAGTTTTTCATTCATTTGTAATTATTTTTTTAATCATAATTCATCATAATTATTTCATAAATTACAATTTATAAAATAAATGGTGATGTACATATTTTGACCTTAAATTAATGAATTGCATTTAAGGAGAGGTTCTTGAGTGTAGGTGAAATGTTTAAAGCACAATTATCTGTTTGCCAACTTAGGGCAGTGTATTTATCCTTTATCTGAGCTATAATGAAAATTGACATTTTGGTTAATACATAATTGCAATTTGATTATAAATATTCCCATTTTAAACATTATTCATCTTAAAAAAATCTTGAAGTTTGAATGCCTATGATGACATCTATGGAGGAATCTTTCTGAATTTCAGTCCCCAAAATTAGCTTGTTCTAAACTTCTCCGCCACTTGTAAGAAAATTATAACACAATTCCCCTAAATTTTGGCCTACGCACTTTCTGAGTTAAATAAAAGTACAATTTAAAAAATTACGGTTGAATGTAATTTTTCTTTTAATTGAAACACTAGATATATTTTTGAATAATTTTAATATTTGTCTCTATTTGGATGTTAATAATAAAATCATTATTTCAAAAATATGGTGCTAATATGTATTTTTCATCAACATCTGTGCTTCTGTTTTTCATTTCTATCACAGTTGTCCACCCCTTCTTCGTCAAAACTGAACATATTTTTTAATGGCTCTGTATATATTTGAGATTGATTAAATTAATCCACTTTCCCAATAAACATTAATTAAAAATATTAGGAAACAGAATTTGTCCTTAAACTTTTCATCCCCGCACATTATGGCACTTTTTTTTAATGTTAATTTTGTAAACGTTTAGCAACACCATTTAAAAATATCACCTAATGGGAAGGCTGGGCACCCTAACGTATATGCCTATGCTGAAGGGAACTAAAGCTCCTCAAGTGCAAATCATTTTATGGAAATAACTTTAAAAAATAATTTAATTTCTTTAATTTTTTCTGCAAAGAACACATGAGTATACATTACTCCCCTCTGTGGTACTGACAGCCTTTAATATGTCAAAAAGTCAATTTTTTTGTTATGTGATTGTTGTTATGTTCATTTTCCAGTGAAATTTTGCGATGTCCAAATAGAAAGAAAAAGGTGTTAGTTGTAAAGTACTTTAATGGATTTGGCATGTTATTTCAAATAAAATATTAATTTTACCTATGATATTTGGAAAGCATTTCCTGAGAAATCAAGTTTTTTGATGTGTCTGATGCTGCTTTTGTTCAATAGAACTATGAAAATGAAAGTACCTGAAGAAGAAAGTGATGATGATAGTTTAGGAATATATAATAATAGGACGCTGAGTCATTCTTCTGTTTTCTAGTGTTGCTTCTGTTACTACCACGATAATTACATTTCTGGATGAAAAGAAGGTAAATAATGACACTCCCAATAAAAAAATTAAACACTTTTTCAGGTCAGCATTTGGTGCTTTCAACTGAATCCTTGTGATCAGGACATAAATCAAAACATTAATGTATGGATTTCTAAGGCTTCTTTGAATTAAGATGGGTGTTTTGAATATTACTGAAGAAGACATTTATCTTTCATGAAAATCATAAAAAGTGGTATTCTTCGTATTATGTTATGTATTATCAAGAATCGTAACTGTTAGTGTGTAGTAACAGGGCTGCTGAGAGAAAATCCATATCCAGGAACAAAGAAGGTATTATGTGGACTCTTTTAAAAAATTCTACAAACTATATTTTACATTCTATATGTGTATATTAATATTTCTGACAATTGATCTTTACATTTAGATAATACTTAAATTTGACGTTCACAACTGCTCTTAGTTTGCTTTCCCAAATTCACATTGTCCCAGAATGTATTATAATACACAATGTGAACCCTGCATAACTTTTAATTTTCAATATATTATTTTTATATTTAATATATTTATTAACTAATAAAGTTGAAAAGTTAAGGTATACTAAAAATTAAATATAAGAAATGAACGTGCAAATTATGATAAAACACTGGACTACATTGGCCCTCTTGAGCTCCATGGGGGCTGTTGATATTTGTTGGCCTTGGAGCGATGTACTAGCTGTTCCCCTTTCCTCAGGCTTGAGTGACAATCAAGCATTAAAAGAGGTACGCTTAAATATATGAACCAAATAAGTGAATGCTTCAGCTTTTTTCAGACTGATATAATTATTTTTTTTTAAATAGTTTTTGCAGTTCTGTCATTTCCATAGATGCCAAATTCCACTTTGCTTTTTTAAACTAAAATTTTCAATAAAATTTTATTTTCAATTTCCTAAATAAGCATGTCAAGCAATCATGCTTTTTAACACCAGTAGTATGTATTATGCTGACTTGCAAATTCAAATGTTTTAATGCATTTTATCCAATGGTACATTTTTACGAAATCCATTTAAAGATGTATTATCAACCATAATCATTTCTTTCAAAAGAAGAAAATTGTAGGTTGTTAGAGGATTGTTATATTAAGCCTTTTTTTGTAATTTCAATTTTTTCAACTAATTGTATCTTTTTAAAGGCTTTTCTTGTATTTTATGATTTTGACATGAACATTTTGTATGAAACATCTTAAAAAAAAGCTTCATTCTTTCGAGGGTGTGCTAGAGCTTCAAAACATTTAAATGTAATAAGTACTGCTAGCAATAAACATATCTTTTATTTATTTATTAGTATTTTTGGTTACATTCTTTGGTATTTCATATTTATAAACCAATAAGGAGCCCCAAAAGATTCCATGCTCAGGATGTTGTTTTAAAGTTCCATAATCAAAAATGAGGTAGTGAATTATTTCATCTATAAAAAGTGAGTTGTATTATAATAATATACTATAATAAGTGTGTTGATTTTTATTAATTATAGAATCTTTGTAAATAGATATCTGAACAAAGTGAATCAATTAAGTGAGAAACACAATTAAAATACAAAACCAATCATAGTCCAATCATAAAGGAAATTCTTTAAACAGCTTAAGCAAATTAAATTTTGTCATTTTCAGATAGTGGTTTTTCAGGGAAGAGGAATTAAAAAGTCATTAACCATTAAATTCCAATGTTGTCGTGAGATATCATGAAACCTCTCGTAGAAGGAAGGAAAGGAATGAATCAAAAGAAATGTTTTAAAATATATTTGTATTGATCTGATATTATATGATCTGATACAATTAAGAGGAAAAATTGAAGATGACATATCAAGGAATCAGGTCTGAGACTGATTAACAGGAGTTGACAGCTGAATAGGAACTAAAAAAATTATATTTATAATAAGACACTGTAATATTTTGTTCAATTTGCTATGATATTGAAACAATTTTTCAAAGTTAAAAGGAACCACATATTATTGCAATTCTTTAGATACTGGTACATTATTTATGCACAATTGAAATGTGAAATTTGATTTTTGTTTGAAATATCCACTAACAAGACTTCCTGTGATTACAATGGGAAAATTTTCTTTCAATTTTTAATTTCTATAAATGTGTTTGAATAAAGAGACATGTTGGAACACATTAATAACAAGGAAATGCAAATTAATTAGATGTAGACTTCATAATTTAGAAACAATACTTTCTTAAATTGCATTTTGCCAGTTGCATATTTGAATGCGAGAGATATAACAATTATCTATTAGATTAAATAATGATTTTTGAACAAATCTGGATATTTTCAATTAGAAAAACTTTTGAAAGTTTATGATGGTATTAACACATTATTTTCTTTATTGCTTTTATAAAAAATAATGATGTCCTTTTAATTGATATACAGAAAATAAAAAAAGTGGTTCTTAGGTTCAAAACTAACTTAAGTGGAAGTATTGTATTTGCTGCTATCAGTCATATACAATAAGACTTGTAGAAATAAGCTAATCAAATAGAAAAACAATACTAAAATTTTAATAATACAATTTTAATTATTATATAAAGAACGAATAGAGTACAATTAATATTTTTTTTAGCAAGTGTGCATGAATGAACAGAACTTAAATTTGATTGTTATTATAATTAACCGCTTCTAATCGGAAAGCACAAAATACAACAACTAAAGTGGAAGAAAAAATGTGGAAAAATCAATTTTTGCACATGACTTATTTAGACTACATTCGATAGCCTTGCTTTCATGGTCGAATACGTAGTGTTCGTTGGTTATGCTACATCCCAGAAATCTATGGAAGGAACATGTGTTTGCATTGATAACTGCAAATGTTAAATTCATTTGTATTTGAATGGGTAACATCACAGCAGCTCTACGGAATGCCATGGAACATCTAGATAGAATTTACTCTTTGAACGGGAAAACGATTAGACGCTCGCAGATGCCCGTGTCATGTGCTGCGTGTGCGTCGGTGTGGGTTTATGCGAGTGTGTGTGTCTGTAAGTGTTAGGTTTGCAGTGAGTTTTCCTTGTTCATAGTGGCGAATGTGAAAGGAAGTGTTGACAGTTTGTTCGAATAAAGAGAAAAGGATTGCGGCGTGTATTCACAGAAGGTGTCATTCCGTACTTGTGTATTAATACACATACGATGGCTGAGTCTGGCATTGATCTTGATTACGACTTGAAAGAACTTGACATAATAGATTTGGAATTATTGGGGTTTGAAGACTTTGAAGACAATAAAACATTTCATATTCCACAGTGCTATGAACTCAAATCCAAAACACTTCCTGAGAGGTATGTTAGTCTTTCAATTTGCTATATTTCTTTCTTACTCGTTGAATCTTCCTGTCATTCTGTCATGCAGTGAACAAAATTTTGTTATAGACCTGCTTTCTATGGTTTTGTGGGATTAGCGCGTTTCAGTAGACCATGCGTTAATTCACTTCAAATATGTGCTGCTTTTCCATCTGCTTGACTTGTTTGCAGTAATGTTGAGTGTTTTATTTTTTAATGTTTTGAGTAAATAACGTGTTGATTTTGTATTAAATTGTACAGTAATTTCATTGATTAATATAAATAATTATTTAGAGATTTCTAAATTTTGTTGCGAACTTGTCACGTCAGTTTTGCTTGCGATAACATGACATTATGACATCAATCACGAGCGTGGAGGTATGCTAATCAAAGCGTGTAGGATCTTCGTATGTGAGATCTGTTGCGCGTTTTAAATTTTTGTAACAAAGTAGTCCTCCCGGTCGTAATTTCTTGGTTTTGTTTTTAAGTGAGCAAGCAGTGTTATTGAAGTGCTTATTAATTTGAAGTTATGAAATTCTTATTATTAAATTAACATATTACGCGGTGAACTCTTCTGATAAAGTAAAAGAAATATTGACATAACAAATCAACAAACATGTATATTTTGATTTGGATTGTGATGTGAATGTTACAACATAATTTTGCTGAAAGAAAAACATGTTTTTTAATTATTATTCTTTTTACTAAATGGAACCTGCGCTCCTTGCCTTCCCGGCAAATGTGCGGATTTCATCCAAGTTAAAAATACGCATCTTTCATCTCTGACATTTAGATCATTATCTTGTTCTCCGATGTGTTTTTTCGTGCATTTCTTACAAAACGCCACGTCAACACTGTAAACTAAACCTTCCGTTTGGTGCTGAATTCAAGTACAATTCAATTCATGACGCCAACGAGTAATGAAGTCATGTTGAGAATTAGAGGGGACATTGGAACTGAATTCCCGCCTACTGTCTTGCAATGGGCGAAATAATTCCCCTCGCCAGACACCACTGCCTCCGCGGTACGTTTAATACTGCGCGGCAACTGCGGCGTGCCTGGGACTGCGATTCTGCTGCTCTCTTTTTTGGCCGCGGGGAGTTTTCTTTAGCTGTCGCAGGACCCGCCCTCTCACTCTTACCCTCGCATGTGTCTTTTCCGTTCCGTGCGTCTTTTAGTTCGACCCTTTCCCCGGCGATCTCACTGATGATTCCGGTGATAATGATGATGATGATGATGATGATGATGATGGCGGCAGTGGTGGTGGTGGTTTGCTAAATTATTTTGTTTCCGTACGCTTTAATTACTGTTCTTTTAGTCCCGTGAGTGTAGTGCATGTATATCCCAGGCGGTCGTTTTCCACCCCCCCCTGTAAGTCTGTGCCGGCATCCCCACACATCGGCTTGCATGGGTTTCCCCTCCAGGTATCTGCGCCAGCGGGGCACTGCTCCAGCTAGAACAAGCTCTAAGTTCCCGACATGTGTGTTAGTGTGTAATCAAATTGTGTGTGTGTGTGTGTGTGTGTGTGTATGGAGAGAGGAGGGGTCAAGGATATCCGTGACCCATTTGTAAGGGTACTGCTCCGGCATTTGCCTAGTATTTATCGGAGAAACCGTAGGAAACTACCGTTCCTTGCAGTTGACCGCTAGAATTCTCTTCCATACATCGGCTGCATTGATCTGGCTCTCTAGTGAGACTGTCGCAAATCTGCCACCCTTAGAACTCGAACCCTTGGACCTCCCGATTTGGTGCTGCAATGGCATCTGTTGTTGCGCTGAACCTACGCAGTCAATGGTTATGGTGGTGGTGGTGGTGGTGGTGGTGGTGGCGGCGGCGGCTATTCGCACCAGTAGTATTCACATTCCAAATGACATGAAGATAGTCACGTGTGTGTCAGAATACTGTGGAATTTTTCCGATGAAAGGGCTTTCAGATGAATTGTAGTAAAAATGGTTCTAGGAATTGGATGGGGTTGAGATGCTTCAGCGGGTACGGTAACACACAGTTTTTAACTGTTTTTGACGTAAATAAATAAATAATAAATAAATAAATAAACCCGTTGGTAAAGTTCTATCTTGGCATACCCCGCCGGAGGATCTCAAAGAAACGGCCTATTAGACAGCCGATAACAATATTCTCCTTAATAATTGGCTTACGTCGAATTAATTATTGGGCTTTGGTTGAAATGAAGGAACATACAAAAACTCTGTCATTCAGTTATTCAGTGGTACGTGTAGAAATCTCGCTGTAGTTCATTTTAGAATGAGTGTCTAGTAATTATCATATCACAAAAAAGTGTACATTTTAATAAAATATTAAATACTTACAAAAACAAATCTAGTTTTCGGGACAATTTATCGTACCAATGGATTTTTAAAGCAACTAAAAAGAAAATCAGTAATACAGATTTGTAAGGAAAGAAATAGTACAACAATATCAAAAATTAAAAACAGGAAGAGAATAATGTACAGAAATATTTTCTACCTTAGTAACGTGGAACACATTTATAAGATTAAAACTGAAAAAAGGAATAATGTATAAAAGGTTATGTTAGCGCCATCTAAAGAAAAATGAGTTAGTTGAACTAGAAGGGAGGGGTAGAAAGAAACGTAGGTGAAGGCAAGTGGGTGTGAACTAGTCAGGAAAACGTTTTAAAATGAGACCACTTTTGACAAGAGTAGTAAATATTACCTTATATTATTCTCATCTTGTTTTTGTATTTAATTTTTTATTGTTATAACTATTACTTGCTTTTAAATATTGTATTCATAAATGTTCTTTTTAGTTGCTACAAAAATACACTGATGATATAATAAATTGTTCAGAAAACTAGATTTGATGTTTGATAATACTCGATATTTTCGCTAGGGTGACCTTTTACGAGAACAGAAATTGCGTGGTATGCCGGTAAAGAGCCTAATCTACACCGTAAATGGAATATATGGATTAAAAAATTGTTTCGGTTTTCCCTTCAAGATAATTGGCTGCCTCTTGTTTTCGATTTTTCTTCCGTTGGCGTGGCTTCCACGGGTATCTAGAGAACCGATGTCTTTGTGAATATAGTTACCTACATATGTTTATGAGATCTTGAGCTAAATCAATGCAAGTTAATACTTTATAATATGAACTATAGTATGAGAACTTGGAAATCGAATTAAACATTTCTCTTAAAATATAATTTGAAATAAATGTATTGCATCCAAGTAATTAAACTAGTGGTGTTAAAACAGCACGCACCTTCTCGCTCGTACTTTCATGCAAAATTACGCCAAAAGTACTCAAATTTTCCAAAAATTGTACGTCACCTTATTTTAAAATCCAACTTTAAGGAACATATTTCATTAAGGAAAGAATATCTTTCTTCATGATTGTAGTTGTAGGAAGACACCGAAAAATTTGGAATTTTTGCAATTTTCGAAAAATCAGAGGTTTTAACGAAAACGAGTCTCTTAAACGTCCTTCACACTATCCAACAACAAAATGTAATAAAAAGCAATGGAGCCTTTTTCGGAAAATTTTGGAAATGTCCCAAAGGCTGTTTGTAAAGTACCTCCCGAAATTAAAATATCGGTTTCAAATTGAAGCCAGATCGCCAGATCGATTGAGGAACATCTATTTTGGAGAAAATCGGCTGAAGCTCTTTAGCCGCTAGCGCTTTTCACAGACGGATGGACGTTTTGCCGTAATTCAATTTTTTGGTATCAACGACTCAAAACATGATTCTGGCTACACCACGTGTTCGAGGATTTTTTTCTAAATTTAGCAACAGGTTGTATCCTTTTTTTCGTTGCAGGGCCCTATAATAAGAGTTTTTCTGCCGAAAATTCGCCGTTTTTGCGCGCATTACAGAACTTTCTCTCTACTGCGTAATCGGTAGCGAGAACGTAAAAGCAGTACTACCGCTGCTATGTTACTATCAGTCTCTTTTTCTGTTCTCAGTCTTCTTTTGAATAATGTGTCTTTCCATAGTTAAATTTGCGTTCCGTTTGGACATCGAGACTGAATGTTTGCCGAAGGTCCTATGATCGCAATATCATTTGTATAATTAAGAAACTGTCATGTGTCTTTGTCAAAACTTCCAACTGTTCTCCAGAGCTGGGAACCGCTAGTTTAGTTACCAGTTTTTTTGATAATAATTTTCTGATAATAACGTTCTGATAATTTGTAGATAATTATTTTAGACTTCTTAAACGTTTAACAAATTGACTTTGAGTTATTCATATGTATGCAATATAAATTCGTCATAATTCTAACTAAAAATCATATCGTCATTAATTTAAGTAGCAATGTATAGATGAAACACTTTCTTTTGAATTATACAATGTCGAATTTATCGAAATTAATTGTAAATGACAAAGTTTTGCATTGGTTGTTTCGGGGGTTACGAGCGCTCGCCACCGGCCAAACAACGATGAGCGCGAAAGAACAAATGGATGAACGCTCGCCAAGTCTGTTGACATGCGTTGGCTCAGATGCAAATCGTGAAAGTAGATGTGTTCGAATGAAAGGTCGGCAGTTCCAGTGCTATTGTTTTACATCGGATACAACTTCCCTGGTTAATTGTATTCCAGTGGACATTGAATCTTGAATATTGTGTGCAGTGACTCGAAGGAGAGGATGAAGTTTAGGTACGTAAATTGCGCAAAACAAGAGCTTGTGTGGCGTTCTGTATTTGTGCCTTGTTCTGAGAGCAGTTTCTGCGCACTGACAAAGGAAGCAGTCGTCCTCTAACCTCACAAATGGACGTTCATAGGCTACTAATGTTTGTACGTTCCGCGAAATATAATACATTCATTTGCGCGAAATGTTTTGTGATGTTGTCTTGAAATTTCAGCTCGTGTGCACGTGTGGCTGTGTTTATTGAACAACGACGTGCTCAAGCCCTCTATTGGTCGCCGTGCCCCCGACGTAAACGTGAAAACCATTGAAATTATATGCGGGGATAGTGAAAGACGGGAAAGTCCCTTTAAGGACCCAAAAGTAATGCATTTTCAGTGCGA